AAGAGAAAAGGCAGTCTATTTAAAAAAATGTCTGTGAGATGATCCAGATGTTGAGAATAGTAGAAAAAAAAATTTAAACTAGCTTTTATAAATACTTTCAAGGACTTAAAGGAATAGAGTCATAATAAACAGGGGATGTCAATAAATGAAAACATTTTTTAAAAAAAGACACATTTCAAGAAACTAAGAAGTATAGAATTTGAATTTAAAAATTCACAAGATGGGCTAATCAGTAGATTGGACACTGCAAAAACAACAAAAAGTTAACTTGACGATAGATAATAGAAGTTATTCAGTCTAAAGTTCAGCAAAAAAATGAATCGAGCCTTGCTACCCATCAATATGGAGTGGTCTTACATTCATATAATTGGAGTCCCACAGAGGGGAGCAGAAGCCTAATTGCACAGAAAAAAAAATTAAGACAACAATGGCTGAAAATATCCCAAATTAACATAAAAAGAAATGGACAAATCTAGGAAACTTAGTGACTATCAAATAGGCTAATTACAGAGAAAATCACACCCAGACACATGATAGTCAAACTGCAAATAACCAACTATTGGAAAAAAAAATTTTGCAGGCAGTCAGAGAAACATAATACATTACACATGAACAAAAATAATAAAGTGATAGCTGACTTTTCATCGAAAACAACAGGTTAAAATCAACAGAGGGATTAAAGTGCTGATGGACAAAAATTGCCAATCCAGAATCCTATACCCAGAAAAAAATCCTTCAAAATAGAAAGAATAGACATTTTCAGATAAGTGAAAACAAAAAGTTCAACACCAATAGACCTCTACTGTAAGCAATGCTAAAAAAAAAAAAAATTCTTCAGGATGAAAGATGACGTACGAGATGGAAACTGAAATCTATCATGTTTTAGTTATCCTTTCAATCTAATACGTTTAATAATTTAAAATAATAATCATTTATTATTTCTTCCTATTCTACAGCTTTGCTCACCTGGATGATTCTCCTGGTCTGGACATTATTGGCTGGGCTCACGGCTGCATTCAGCCGAGTGCTTAGCCAGGGCTGGAACTTCCAAACTAGCTTCTGACACATGTCTGGTAACTCAGCTGTGTGGCTGAAATGGTTGAGATAGGTCTATCTCTCACCAAATATTTTTCATTCTTTAGTAATCTAGCCTAAACTTATTTATCTGTGGCCAGATTTCTAGAGAATAAAAGTAAAGGTGTATGGCTTCTTAGGGGGTAGGCCTAGAATTGCTATGGCATCACTTTCACTATATTTTGTTCATCAAAGCAAGTTAAAAGACCAGCCTAGATTCAAGGGGTGGAAACACAGACTCTACTTCTTAAAGGGAGAAGCAACATTCACATACAAGAATGTGAATACTTTTGGCAGTATTTTTAAAGATAATTCATCACAAACAGGAAGGAATGCAAAGAACTGGAAATAGAAAAATGTAGATAAATAGATAAAAGGCAATATATATGTTTCTTCTCTTAATTTCTTTGAAATACATATGACTTGGGCAAAAATAACAAAGTGCATAGATGTTACATGTATGACAGCAAAGCACAAAGAACTTGGGGAGGTGGTAAGTAGAACTTTACTCTTGCAAGGCTCTTTTATTTTACATGAAGTATCATAATTTTAACTCTAAGTAGGCTGTGGTAAGTTAAGCATGTATATAATTTTGTATATAATTCAAAACACTGTAAAGCAATAATGCAAAAACATAGAGTTAAAGCCAACAGAGGAATTAAGATGAAATACAAAAACATTAATTAACCCAAAAGAAAGCAGGAAGTGAAGAATAAGGAACATAAAACTAATGGGACAAATCAAAACCAAATAGCAAAATAATAGACTTAAACTCAACAATATCAATTATTATAAATGGAGTAAACATATCAAAAACAGATTGGGTTAAAAATAAAAAGACTTATCTGTTGTTTATAAGGGAAGCACATTAAATTAAAAAACACAGGTTGAAGGTAAAAAGATGGATAAAGATATACCAGCAAACAGTAAGGTAGGAAGGCTGCAGTGGCTATACTAATATCGGATGAATTAGACTTAAGAGAAGGAGTATTATCAGGGATAAAGACATTTCATAATGATAAAATGGTCAATTCATCAGGAAGACACAAGAACCATAATGTTTAGATGCTCCATAACAGAGCTTCAAAAATGCAAAAGAAAAGGTGACAAAACTAAAGGAAGCGGCAAATTCACAGCCATAGTTTAAGTTTTACACTCTTATCTCAATAATTAATAGTAACACTATACACAAAACAATAACAATATAGAAGATCTGAAGAAAACTATTAACCACCTTAACCGCATTGACCTTGATGGACACAATGCTCAACAACTACAGAATGCAGATTCTTGTCTTGTGCTCACAGAACATTTACCAAAATATACTATATTCTGGGCAGAGTAAGTCTCAAAAAAACTTTTAAGTATCAAAATTTCAGGGTTTGTTTTCTAACCATGGCAGAAATAAACTGGCAATCTCTAATAAGACTAGTCAAAAAAAGATAGAAGATGCAAATGATCAATGTCTGTGTTTCATGTATCTATTTCTGTGTAAGAAATCACCTCATACTTCAGTGGTTTAAAATAACAACCATTTTATTGCTCACAATTTTGTGAGTCAGGAATTTGTGTAGGGCTCACCAAGAACAGCTCACATCTGCTCCATGTTTTGTCAACTGGGCTCACTCATGTGGCTGCATTCAGCAAGTGCCTGATTTAAAATGCACAGTCTGAGATGAATTTCTTCATATTTCCGAAACCAAGGTGCTGACTGTTGGTTCCATGTGGCTCTCTTTCCACGTGGTCTTCATACTTCAAGGGCTCTTCTTCATGTGGCCACTCCCTCCAACAGGACAGGCTGGACTTCTTTTTGTAGCTGCTCAGAGTACTGAAACATGAAAAAAAAGAAAGAAAGAAAAAAGGAAAAAAGCTGTGTCTTTGAGAATACAGTCCCTGGGGTGGAATTCTAGCCCATGTATTTTAGTTTTCTCTATATTATTATCGGAGATGCTTTTGTTTTTATGCTTTCATTCTTGTTTTGTTTTTATGCTTTCATGTCACATTCCTTTTTTATTCTTAGCTGTGATATAGGATAGTCTATGACAAGGTCTCTTCAACTGTTTGGCTGTGTTCTTTAATAGTTTGTACAGGAAGCGTTCATGGAAACAATATTCCTTAAATGACAGTTCGCAATTTAAAAAAAAACATAATTCATCACCATATTAAGTTGTGTTTTAGCACAAAGCAATTGTAAGAACATATTTTTATTAGGATATGCTTTCTTATAGATTGAAACATACAAAAGTCTTTTGTATGCTTTATGTTTTCATATTTGTCATGCTTTTTTTTTTTTTTAAACATGGTCTTTCTATGTTGTCCAGGATGGCACTGAACTTTTAAACTTTTGAGCTTAGCAATCTTCAGAAGAGCTGGGACTACAGATGCCTGCCACCACACCTTCCCTCCTTCCTTCTTGCTTATGCTATTGGATGTGATATAGTTGAATTTTTAAAAATCTCTTCTCTCCAACACATTTTCTGTCGGAATTGTGACACGGGAAAGAAAAACGGTAGGTAGAGTATATTATGTTATTCTTAACTTTCCCATTGTTATCTACTGCTCTGTAGAGGTGTTTGAGAACCTCAAGGAAAATCAGAAAGTTCTTCCTCATTTTCGGGAGAACATAAACTTTTGGCCATATAAAATCATTTCTGGGTTGGTTTTGGTGAATTTATACCTCAGACCAAAGGGAGAAAAGTAGCCAGACTAAGCCTCTAGACTAGAAGGTAATGATTATGTATGCTATTTTGTGTGTGCTCTCCTGGACCACGCATCGTTTAGGTAGCCCTGCCTGTAGAGTTACAGCACAGGCTTGAGTGAGGACAAGAACTAATGACAGAGCAGCAGAAAGAACTTTTCTTGCAAGCCCATAACTACTTCGTATTGTTTCTCAACACAACATAGAATCAAGTATTTGTAGCATTTTAAGAAATCCACGTACAAACTTTTTTTTTTTTTAATAGAGTCTCATTCTGTCCCCAACTCTAGGCTAGAGTGCTGTGGTATGATCACAGCTCACTGCAGCCCCAACCTCCCCGGGCTCAGGTGATCCTCCCACCTCAGCCTCCCGAGTAGCTGGGACTAGACAGAGGCATGCACCAGCACCCCAGCTATTTTTTTTTTTTTTTTTTTTACACTTTTTGTAGCGATGGGGTTTCGTCATGTTGCCTAGGCTGGTTTCAAACTCCTGAGCTCAAACGATCCACCTGTCTCGGCCTCCCAAAGTGTCGGGAATACAGGCATGAAGCACCCCACCCGGGCTCAAACTCTTACCAGATGCTTTAATCACCCTTCCTCAAACTCTGATTCTACTCAAATTGTTCACTTTCAAAGAGGAAACTCAAGTGATTCCCGGGGAGCCTATGCTATTATTCGTGCATCCTTATTTGTGGACAAAATTCTTTCTTGCTGTGACTTAAATGCAGCCTGCCTTTAGCTTTCACTTATTAGTCCTAGTTGTTCTCTGCTGCTATGAAAAAGGGTCTGATCCTTCTTTCACGGATCAGCCCTCTAATTATTGGAGCAGCACACTGCGTTTACATGGGCCTCTAGTCCTTTTCCGGGGTCATCGTCCCTAGAACCCCTCAAATGTCTCTCATTTCACATGATTTAACCATTTACTTTCGACTCATATTTCCCTTGTTGGTCTCAATGTCCCTCACGAAAGTTGACCCCAGACGGGCCCGCAGAACAACCTCTCCTGAGAAGGCAAAAGAAATTCTCGCCCAAATTGTGGAGAAGGCAGTCGAACCAATTAAACCCAAAACTAAAACTGTAATAGAAAATAACTTTCAAGCTCGCAATAAAAAGGCTATGCCTGGATTTATATCGTCACAGCCGCTAGCCACGCCTCCACTCGTGCAGTGCCCCTGGGAGCCGAGCCCATTCCAGTGAATTTCTAGGGTAAAGTCACATTCTACTCTTTTGAATGGTCCCTTCACCCAGCCGCCTACCCCTTGCCCCAATTTCCATTTGAAATGAAAGTCTCCCACTTTCTAGCTGAGACAGCCAAAAATGTAAAACTCAGGCAAAACCAACAGGAACAAGGCAATTTACCGTCACTTCCCGGGTCACTTCCAGAAGTCACTTCCGGGGTCGAGGAGAGGCCAATGAGATGTCTGCAACTGCTGGAGGAGTTAGGGGCCGGACCGCGCGCGGCCTGAACGCCTAAGGCGGGTTTTGCGCATGCTCATATAAAGCTCTCCTAACCCGTCTTCCGGTGAAAATTTCACGTGTTTCGGAGTCGGGGACTGTGTTTAGCTTTACTGAGGAGCTCTTAACTTTAGGCGGGTAAGTGCCGCGGTTCCTGCATGGTTCCTGCCTTTAAATGGAACGGGAAGTCCATCCATGTTCTTCTGGTATTTCCTCCTAATACTGAAACTATTGGGGTCTGAGAACGAGAGAAGGGGGATGGAGAAGCTTTGGTTGCCGTGGCAAGTGCCGGACACCAATTTGGATTTTTGAGGATTTGGGAAGGGAGGATTTGTGTAACCACTCCTCAGAATACTTGATGGGTCGAATTTAAATTCAGTTGTTACTTATAACTCATACTCCTAGCCACAGAATTTGATTTTAGAAGGTTTACTCTGGCTGTAATGCAAAGAAGCAGAATCGGAGGCAGGGTAGTTATTTAGAAAGCTAACGCAGTAGCTTTTTAACACTGTTTTAAGGGGTCTTGAACTAGGATAGTGCTGTAAGATTGCAGAGAACAGGGGAAACTGGGAAAATTTAGGAGGTAGTGTCAGAGGCACCAATACTCGATTTCATATGGGGAATGAGGGAGGGGCCCTGAGCATTTTTAGGAATACGTCCAAACTCAGCTTGGCTTATGATTGTCTTTCTAGGTTCGCTTCTCACCTTCCACACCCCTCCTCGTCCACACATACCCCGAATTCTAGTCATGGCCAAGTAGTTTGGTGTTCTATTTCCTTTTTTTTTTTGTAACATCACCTTTTTTTGTAACGTTAGGCAGGTTTCATCATTTCACTGAGCCCCTCAGTTTTTTCAACCTTAACGTGGAAGAAAGCAATATACGCCCCTCAGTATTGCTGTGAGAATTAAGTTAGATAATTTATACTTCTGGTACATAGTAAGGGCCTAATAAATATAAGCTATTACTACTATTATTGTACTTCTCATATTGTTTTGTAATTACACGTTTTGCTGTTTCTTCGTCTGGACTTGAAATTTTTTTAATTAGAGGGCAGTATCTTATTTTTCTTTGTATGGGCTTGAAACATTGGTAGTTCGGTCTTTTTAATGTATCATTAATTTTGGCTGTTGCTGACATAATTCATCTTTTACTTTAAAAGAGCTCACAAGTATAATGCATTTTGCTGATCTAATTATATTTATTAGATAAAAAGATGGCTTTTTTTCTGTACAGTTCAGAAGACTGGATTAAGATGTACAGAAAGTAACTGATATTCTGTTTGTAATAGATATGAGTGATTTCAGTGAAGAATTAAAAGGGCCTGTAACAGATGATGAACAAGTGGAAACATCTGTGCTGTCTGGTGCAGGAATGCATTTTCCTTGGCTTCAAACATACATAGAAACTGTGGGTAAGTAAAGTAATAACATTGAACCATTTTAACTTTAAAAAAGTGATAAGATTCAATACAGATACAAAATGAATAACCAGGCTGGTCGAATTTTCAAGATAGGAATATGTGGGGTAATTTTTACGCTGTAAGCCAAAAAAAAAAAAAAATCTTTTAGAATTCTTTGCCCTTGGATTAATAAAGAGCATTTTCCCCATTTTTATCTAATGTAAATGCAAGCATGTTTTTCTATGGGATAATTTTCCTATAAGAATATATATAATATAATGTATTTAATATAAATAAAAGAAGCAATTATCTGTATGCTGCCATGTTGAGTGGTATAGTCCTGGGAATACATTTGAACCAGCATTTTACTTATTGCCCTTAAATATGTATTTTTTGCCCAGCCTTTTCTCCCTTTGACAGAGATTCCTTGGCTCCTAAAATTTCACTTTTACTTTTTTATATTAATCTAAGTATCATCTCATTTAATGATCTCAGTAAGTTAATCCTCAATAATTTTTGTGCTAGACAGTTTAGGTAGGAGGAAACTGAATCTCAAAAGACATTACACTCTTAAGTGGTGATATCAGGAGTCAAACCCAGGCCCGTATGATCTCAAAGACTATACTTTTAACCACTGAGGTATATTTTAAAAAATGAGATAGTATACTTAAAGTGCCTAGCATAGTACCTCATGCATAGTGAGTGTTGAAAAATAATAGTGCCTTTCTTCTCCTCATTTTATTTTTGCTAAATTGATGCTCATGGCTTAAGGCAGATCTGAATGAATGATACATCAGAGATAGTGCTACCTCATCCCTGGCAGGGAACTAAAGTTATGCCATACTTGGCATGTTTCTGTTAGCAGTGTTCTATAGAGAGTCTGAGTCAGTCTGCAAGCAGATAGGTTTAGGACCAAAGACCAAAATGTACATGCTTAGAAATATTTCACATGTCATAGATACCCTGTTAAACCCAAAATACTTTTGGTCTGCAATGAGAAAATACTTGCAAGTAATATTGACATTGTTCTGGTAATTAACCATAATAGGAAAACAAAATTGCCTGACAATTACTGTATTTATTTTTTTATGCTGGTAGATATCTTTTGGCATTTTTAAGGGCATACGCAGCAAGCCCCTTATCATAAAAACTTTGAAGACGGGACAAGTCTGGATCGAAGCTGTATGATGAGTACCTTGAATAGTGCTTGGCACACAGTGGTGCTCAAAAAATATTTGTTGTCAGATTGATAAGTTTCCAGATTCTTTCAGTAGCATATTAGAAGTTAGGTTGATGACACTGGTTCTTTATTGTACACCTCTATTCCATGTAGAAATGCATTTTCCTTGACAATTTTTTTTTCTTAAAGTCATCAGGCTCGTGTAAGACTATTTTTTGCTCATTAAAGAATGAAATGAAAGGATAACTTTTCCTGAGGTAACTAGGCCAGGTTGGAAGACAAAAGGGTATTCTCCTAGCATTTAGGTATAGCTGTCTAAAGTTGATTTGTAATCTCAGTTGTGAAAGCTTAAGAGATAGAAGGGAGCTTAGCCTGAGAACAGTTCTCTCCTTTAGGTAAATAAAAGATGTTTTAAGGATGAGGTGTTTTGTTAGTTTCCTAGGCTAACTGGCTGGTATTGCTACTGATCTTGAGCAGCTTTGGTGTAGAACTTATAAAATGCAGCTTCTGATTCAGAGAGCTGGGCATAGTACGCTGCAGTAAGATTCCAGGTGATACTAATGCTGCTCATTCCAGGACCACATTGAGTAGCAAGGGTCAGGTCCCCAGGTGATTCGTATGTACATTCAAAAGTCCGAGAACACTAATTTGGTGCAGTCAGTAGTCTTCGAACTTTTCACTTATGTATCCCCTACTTTTTTTTGAAAAATTGACTACTACCTTGCACAGTTTTAAGGTATCATCTGAAAAAATTTTACTATATGTTTAATATTTGCAAGAAATAATTTCCAGGATGTTGGTATTTTTAAATTAATATGTATTACTTTATATGTGATGGAGTCCAAATAGCATAGGAATAGCATAGGGTTGTAATGCCTTGCATTGTCATTTAAAAACAAATTATGAAAAAGCTTTTAATAGATGGAAATTTTATGTTCCTTTTTGTTGTACTTCTTGCAATAAAAGTAGGCATCAATGCACTTTTTTTGTTTATATCCTGTAAGTTTTTTTTTGAGACGGAGTTTCACTCTTGTTACCCAGGCTGGAGTGCAATGGCCCGATCTCGGCTCACCACAACCTTCGCCTCCTGGGTTCAGGCAATTCTCCTGCCTCAGCCTCCTGAGTAGCTGGGATTACAGACACACGCCACCATGCCCAGCTGAATTTTTGTATTTTTAGTAGAGATGGGGTTTCACCATGTTGACCAGGATGGTCTCGATCTCTTGACCTCGTGATCCACCTGCCTCGGCCTCCCAAAGTGCTGGGATTACAGGCGTGAGCCACCGCGCCCGGCTAGTTTTAAGAATTAAAATTTTTTCTAGGTTGAGACATCATCATTAATAGTTATACATAGCTGATCAATATAACATATGTATTAAAAATGTTGCTGTCTGGGTGTGGTGGCTCATACTCGTAATCCCAGCACTTTGGGAGGCCAAAAGGAAGAATCACTTGAACCCAGGAGGTCAAGGCTGCAGTGAGCTATGATTGTGCCACTATAGTCCAGCCTGGGTGACAGAGCAGGTCTGTGTGTGTGTGTTTTAAAATAAAGTCATCTATCACTTTTTCCCAATTTTTGTATGTATTTGTGGGTGACTTTTATGTATTTCTAGAATGAGAAAAGATTTAGCATTGATTCTGCTATATTTTGTTTTAGTTAACATAAATTTTGAGAAACCTTAGTCACACAAATAAATAGATGGCAATGAATGGAATTGAATCATAGCCATGTATCAGGTCCTTGAACATTTTCTAAATTATTTGTGAAAAATTACATAGTGATTTATTGTAAAAAATTATGTTGTTCTGCAGTTTTGATAAGCAAAGAATTGGGAATTGCCTAACTTGCAAAAGGAGATGTCATTTACTTTTTCACCACCTGCGTTTTCACCTTCAGATAATGTGTAATGATTTTGATTGTGAAGCTTTTGCTATATAGGCACAGCTGTCTAGGAGATTAACTTTTGGAAAGGGTATGGAAGGAAATCGAAGATCCGCAAGTTGGATCTTTGCAAAGTACCTGTTGGTCTTTGTGAACTTACAGGGGTACAGTTACCCAGCTGGACTAGAGGGGGGCCTGGTAGTTATATGGGAAGAGAGGAGGAGGTAACAATGTAACTAGTCATTCTGTTCTTAACATGGGGATTGCCAATACTTTAGAAATATAAATGCTAATTTTTACAGCTGTTTTAATCTCATTTTATTTAATATCATTGAGTTGCTAGGAATTTGGTCCTTAAAAAATAAAAGCCCACTTGGAGTTTGCAGAACATGGGAAGGTAATAAAGACCATGTTTGCCTCGAATGACCTTGGCATTTTATCCATTCTAAATACCTGGGACTGTGCTTTTGGGGGCCTGTTTGAGAAATTTTCCCCAAATTATTTAGTACAAGGATAAAAGGATGATTGAATCAGATTTAAAGGATCTGGTGACTCTAGTAGCCCCAAACATCAAATTGGATATTTTTTTATTTGCTAAAAATAATTAATGTGGAAGTGTATGTTTCAAGTGAAGCTGGCTTTGATACTGGAAATAGGCTGGATCAAGTAATACCTACTGTTTACTTGTTAAAACTTATCACAAGTAAGTTTTTTGAATAGTTGAACCTGAGTCACTATGGATGAAAACTCTTCTTTTTCATTTTTATAGCCATTGGAGGGAAAAGGAAGAAGGATTTTGCTCAGACAACAAGTGCTTGTTTGAGTTTTATCCAAGAAGCTCTGCTGAAGCACCAGTGGCAGCAAGCTGCAGGATACATGTACAGTTATTTTCAGACCTTGGAAGATTCAGATAGCTACAAAAGGCAGGCTGCACCTGAGGTAAACAGTGTGTGAGTTTGCTGGAAAAAATGATAGATTCCCAGGAGTTTCTGCCTCCAGCTTCACCTACGATAGCTTTTACAGAATCTCAATGATTTTGCTAAAAGCTGCTAAAACTACTTTTGGGCGGAGAGTTTGTATTGGGACCTTTTTTGAATACTTCTTTTTACCTGTTATTTTAAAGGAGACCAAAATATTCATTCATTCTAATAATTGTTTCTTTTCCCCCCTTTATGGATATTTCCCATCATCATATAAAAATTTTGTTATTCTATCTTAAAATCATCTCTTGACCCCAACTTCCCCTATAGACTGTGCGTCATTGTTTTACTCTGTTTCAGCAAAACTTCTTGAAAGAATTATTCTTTTTCCAACTAAAGTGATCCTTTTTTTTTTTAGTTTTATCAAGACATTGTTAATACACCGTCATCCATTTAAATTGTACAATTCAATTTATTTTCATATATTCACAGAATTGTGCAACCAACCGTTACCACACTCTAAATTTAGAACCTTTTTTTCCGCCATGAAACCAAAACCATGTACCCACTTGCAGTCTTTTCCCCATTCCTCCTCACAGCTGCCAGACACTGGCAGACACTCATCTTTTACTTTCTTTTTCTTTTTTTCTTTTCTTTTGAGGCAGAGTCTTGCTCTGCTGCCCAGGCTGGAGTGCAGTGGCACAATCTCTGGCCACTGCAACCTCTAGCTCCTGGGTTCAAGTGATTCTTGTATCTCAGCCTCTTGGGTGGTTGGGATTACAGGCATGCACCACCACACCCAGCTAATTTTTTGTATTTTTAGTGGAGACAGGGTTTCACTCTGTTGGCCAGGCAGGTCTCGAACTCCTGGCCTCAAGCGACCTGTCTACCTTGGCCTCCCAAAGTGTTGGGATTACAAGTGTGAGCCACTATGCCCAGCCTAATCTATTACTTTCTATTCTGGAATTTCATATAAGTGGTATCATATAATATGTGGCCTTTTGTAAATGGTGTCTTTCACTTGGCATGTTTTCATGGTTTATCCATGTTGTAGCATGTATAAGTACTTCATTACTTTTATTGCCAAATAATCTGTTATATGGAACTACATGTTTTATTTGTCCATTTATCAGTTGTTAGACATTTAGGTTGTTTTCGCTTTTCAGTTATTGGAAATAATGCTTCTATGAACTTTTGTGTACAAGTTTTGTGTGGATGTTTGTTTTAATTTCTCCTGGGTCTACACCTGGGAGTGGAATTGCTGGGTCATATGGTAACATTTTGTTTAGCCTCTTGAGGAACTGCCAGACTGTTTTCCAAAGTGGCCACACCATTTATATTCCCAGCAGCAATATCTGAGCCTTCTAATTTGTCCAGTCCTTGCCAATGTTTTGTTATTGTCCTGTCTTACTGATAATAGCCATCCTTGTGGTTGTGAAGTGGCATCATCCTGGCTATGATTTGCGTTTCTCTAATGACTAATGATTCAGAGTGAGCTTTTTAAAACATATCACATCCTGCCACTCCTCTGCTAAAAACACTGTAATGGCTTTCCATTTCATTCAGTAAAAGCCAAAGTCATAATTGTCTATAAATTCCTATGTGATGTGCTTACTCCTTTTCCTTGTTTGACCTCTCTGACTTCATCTTCTGTAACAGGTTGAGCATTCTCAATTCAAAAATGTGAAAAGCAGAATGCTACAAAATTCAAACCTTTTTGAGTAATGACATGAGATAGTGATACCTTTGCTTTCTGATGGTTCAGGATATACAATTTTTGTTTCATGCACAAAATCTTAAGAATATTGTATAAAATTACTGTCAGGCTATGTCTATAGGTGTATGTGAAACATAAGTGAATTTCATGTTCAGCCTTTGGTCCTATCCCCAGTCTGAAACATTTCTGATCCCAAGGATTTCAGATAAGGGTTACTCAACCTGTATTCTCCTGCTTGTTTTTTCTTTTCCATCCTCACTGCCTTTCTTGTTCTTACTTAAATGGGCCAGGCATATTCCTGACTGATTGCCTTTGCCTTAACCAGTTCTTGGAAAGCTCTTCAGATGTCACTATAGCTACCCTCCTTCAAGGCCTCTTTTCAGTGAGGCCTACCTTGACTCATTACAATTGCAATTGCCTTACTTCACCCGCAACCTGCACTTTCAGAATTGCACTCCTGATCTCCTTATCTTTTGCTCCATTTTTTTCCCCAACACTTGAAAATTTAATTATGTTTTTTGGTTACTGTTTGTTTCTCTACATAGAATGTGAATGTCACAGGGCAGGATTAAAACAGTGCCTGGCATATACTGCTATATTTGTTCAGTAAAAGACAGTTTACCCATAGCTTTTACTAATACAGTCACCATTGCATCAGTTAGTTGTCTTCCAGAGCAAAAACAAAAACAACAACAAAACCAAAAAAAAAAAAAAAAAAAAGTTTAACCATTAATTGAAAATTTAATTTTTGGACTAAAGTTACATATACCTGTAAAACACTGGACAAGTTAGAGATTCTTGTCCAGATTTTGTTTCATAAAATAAAGGAATTGTATCAGTAGGTTTTTTTTTTTTTTTTTTTTTTTAGCACTACTTAGTCTCTGTTTGGATCACCTCGGGCTTTCATTGACAGTATACATTCCTGTACTTCACCCCTATCCTGTTGAATCAGAATATTTATTTTTAACAGGTGTCCCATGTAATTCTTATGTACAACTGGGTGTAAGAATAGCTATAATAATCTTGAAGTTTTTTTTTTTTTCCTGCTTTTTCCCCGCTGCATTTACCCATCCCTAGTGGGAGGTGGTCCAAAATCTAAGTTTTCTTTAAGTTCCCAAATACTACAGTGTGATATTCTACAAATGAAACCTTGATATCTCTGAGTTGGGAAGATGAGGATCATTTATACCAAATGATAATATGTGTATCATATATAATTATACCAGCGATAGTATATGTCTATACACATATAACCGATGTGTATGTTCATAGAAATAATTGATTTACAGTTCAGTTCGATTTACTTTGAAGTCGGTGTTATTGATGTACTTTAAATATAGGTTAGAGAAATAGAGATTTGCTCTCATCAAAAAAGAGCTCCAAGTTCTGTTCCTAAAGTTTTGATGATCTAAGAATATTTTTTTTTTATTAAGATTTGTCCATAGCTGATGAAAATTCTTAAATTGGCATTCTAAATATAGAATAAATGTAGTCAATAGTTGTAGAAATTGATGGGGTCTCAGGAAACATCTAGTTTGTTGCCCTCATTTTGCAGATGATGAAGATGAGGCTAAGACCAATGAGGAAGCCAATATTATTAGAACCAAATTTTCTGACTTCAATATTCTTCCTTCCATACCAGTTAAATATTTTATATTCAATATGTATCTTAACTGCCTATTTTCTTTAAACTACTAAATTAATAATGATGCTATTATACTATCTGATATTTTATTAGAAAATTAAAAGATTAAAACTATTTTATCACATAAGGAGGTAATATTAATTTTACAGGGTAGAGAAAATGTTGACAGTAGTGGTCTCTAGGAAGAGGAATCACAGGTTATTAATGTTGTAATCAGGAAAAAATATCTTAGACAGAAATTGGTTAAGGCAAGAATTTTACATTTTGGTAGTAATTTCTGGTTTGACAGATTATTTGGAAGCTCGGAAGTGAAATTCTATTTTATCATCCCAAAAGCAATGTGGAGACTTTCAATACTTTTGCTGACCGGATGAAAAATATTGGCATCATGAATTATTTAAAGGTGAGAATATGAGCTTTGTGAATTTACACTTGTGGTACTTGTTTTTTTAATTGCTTATGTCAGTGATAAGGCAGATAATGTAAAAAATGTGGGACAGGCTGGGTGCGGTGGCTCATGCCTGTAATCCTAGCACTTTGGGAGACTAAGGGTGGGGGATCACAAGGTCAGGAGTTTGAGACCAGCCTGACCAACATGGTGAAACCCTGTATCTACTGAAAATACAAAAATTAACCAGGCATTGTGCCATGCACCTGTAATCCCAGCTACTTGGAAGGCTGAGACAGAATTGCTTGAACCCGCGAGGCAGAGGTTGCAGTGAGCGAAAATGTGCCGTTGCACTTCAGCCTGAGCGACAGAGCGAGACTCCATCTAAAAAAATATGTGGGACAAGGATAAGACATCTGGATAAATAAGAGGAAAGGAAAGAAAAGAGTGTTGTGAGAACCATTTACTTCCTGGTTTTCAGTCACCTCCTGTGTTCTCTGACTAAAAATTCCTTTTGTTTGTATATTTCTTCTGGCTGTCAAAACCAGTTATTTAGAGATTGCAGTGGTGTTTCATTATGATGATGGGCCAAATTCTAAAAGGTTTGTTGAAGTCATTACAGCTTAGAGTTGGAATTTTTAGGAAAAGGAAAGAGCTAAACAAGTTGGGAATATAAACAAATACAACTCATAATGAGAAGATAAAGTAGAAAATGGCCAGTTCTCTGGAACTAGAAAGGGTTAGGATTTAATGGGTTGGAGAATCAGGAAAAGAATGAAAGTAATAGTTGAGATTAGTTTGAAAAGCAATTGTGTGTTCACTAGGCAGATTAGAGGAAAGGGCAGTCCTGCATGGCAGGGGTTATAAAGAGTTCAGTAGCCCTGTATCCGATACTTTAGTTGCTCTAAAAATCATTTGGGTAGAGGTCAGGGGAAGTAGGCTGGGCCCTGTATCCCATACTCAAGGAACTTGGATTTTAATTCTGTAGCCAGTGGGAGCCATTGAAGGAGTTTGTGTAAATGACTAACAAGACGAGATTTCTTTGGTAGCCCCTTGAAAGGTGGATTGTAGGGATGCAGGAATGGAGAGGCCAGTTGACAAATTATTACAGTACTTTGGCTGTACCTAAATGATTAATTGTAGTTCTCATTAGTCTCCTCTTCAATGTCTTCCTTTCTTCTAATACTGATTCTTTGTGTAATTATTCTTCCTGCTTCTCCTATGTCAGGGATACACTTTCTATGTGAACTGAAACCATTCTTCAACATCCCTTATTAAGATATTTTCTCTAAGCTTATATAATGTGTATAAAATAGTAATATTTATTGAATGTCTGCTATGGGCCTAACTAGGTTTTAGGTGGATTGCAAATATTATTTAATCTTGAAAACACCCTTCTGAGGGCCAATAATGTTCCACAAAACAAATGAGACTCATGAAGGGTGAATAATTTACCTAGGTTTATTTTTTATTTTTTTTATTATTATTTTTTTTGAGACAGAGTCTTGCTCTGTCTCCAGGCTCTAGTGCCATGGTGCAATCTCGGCTCACTGCAACTTCCGCCTTCTGAGTTCAAGTGATTCTCCTGCCTCAGCCTCCCGAGTAGCTGGGATTACAGGCGCTTGCCACCATACCCAGCTAATTTTTCTATTTTTAGTAGAAACGGGGTTTCACCATGTTGACCAGGATGGTCTCAATCTTTTCACCTCGTGATCCGCCCGCCTCAGCCTCCCAAAGTGCTGGGATCACAGGCGTGAGCCCCTGTGCCTGGCTGGTTTAGTTTTTAAGTGGCGTATGAACCAAGACACTCTATCTTCAAAGCCCTTTTTTACCCCACTATATCACACTGTCTTCTGTTTGTAAGTTTACATAATTTAGCTCATATCTATATAGTGTTAGTTGTTTCCTGTGTCTTACTTCTTTGCTAGATTGTCCCCAACATCAAAATTTTCAGTGTCAGGTTATTTGTATCCTACCAAGATCTTAGCCCAGCATGTACTGTATATTTACTGAGCTTTTTGACTAATGGTTATCTAGTGGGTTAAATGGCAGTGTGCCCTTACTATTTTTGTAGATCTCCTTACAACACGCGTTATACCTTCTGCATCATGGAATGCTTGAAGATGCTAAGAGAAATCTGAGTGAGGCAGAGACATGGAGACATGGTGAAAAGACGTCTTCCCGGGAAATATTAATCAACGTTATTCAGGCCTACAAAGGGCTTTTGCAGTATTATACCTGGTCTAAAAAGAAGACGGAATTGTCAAAGCTTGGTGAGTGAATGCAGGTAGATTTTTCTTGTGATGAGACTGAGGGGCTAAGGGATCTTAAGGCGTAATCTAGTAATTTCCCTATCAACTTCATCCAGATATTACGGAGAACAGACTTTTTATGGATTTAAAATTCTTGATCATCCTTTATATTATTTCTGATATATAAAAAGCTTAAATTAGATGGTTCATAATTAAGTTCATGATCATTTTAGGTTCATTGCTGTTTTAAATGTGATTTAGTCAAGGATAAACAGCCAGACATTAGAGCAGTGAAGACAGGTTTGATTCAGTAACTGCTAACAGTAGGAGAAAGAACTAAGCTCCATTCCAGTTTCTGTGGAGGTGACTTAGGGTTGTAAAGGGTGGGAGTGGGGAGTTTGACAAGCAGAAAGCAGAACCCACAGTAAATTCTTCTGGAGTCCTCCCAGGCAAGCATTTCAAGAGGGGCTAGGGTCATACTGGGGGTGTGGCCTTGAACTGTTACAAACTATGCTAGTGTCTCTTCAAGTCTGTATTGGTCAAATGTGAGGCCTAGTCCAGAAGAGAGCTCAGGGGAGCCTGGCTGGAATTTAGTCAGGAAGAAAGTCTTTGCCAGTTTCTAAGGAAGGCTACAGATTTTCTTCAGCGGTCATTATCACATATAATAAACATTTCTTCCTGTGTGCTTAGAATGGAGTTTAATGTGTTTTGTAATGTCGTTTCTCTGAATAATAATGTTTAAAGAATAGGTCAAGATGGTCATTTCATTTTTGTACACAGGTTATAATGGACAATTTTCCTGATTTATTGACTACACCAGACGTTGACCATTCAGTTCTCAAACTGATACCCCTTCTGTTAACCTTCAGTAGCATGTTATCATCTTCATTTATGTACAGATTTGCATTCTTTGGAGCTGATTCTTTGCAATTTGCTTCCCTTGTATAGTTCTCTCCATAATTTCTCTAGAATTAACCCCTTTCTGTTTTTATTCTCCTCCATATCTTAGCCTAGTATTTATCACTTCATATGTGATAAGCAGTATTTCCTTATTATCCTTACGTGATAAGAAGTATTTCACAAAGCGAGATTCCGTCTCAAAAAAAGAAAAAAATATATAGCATTTCCTTGGTCTCTGGGCATGTAGTTTCACTAATTTCAATTCCCTTCCCTCTTCTTTGAAGATACTCTGCAGTGCCTTCTTCATCACGATAATCTTGTGAGGTCTTTGTAGAATTTACTCATCTAGAATGCTCTCTACCCTTCTAGCCTCATTAGATCCCTGTCCCAACCCTTCATTCTTACACCTTAGACGTAATATATCAGCTGCATGTTCAGCCTGAATCATTTGGATCTTCATCTCTTGCTTTCTAACTGTGCTAAGTTTTTTCATGTGTATTTAATTAGTCCAGATGTCTTCCCATTTAGACTAATTTTTGATGTCATATCTATCCTCTATTTGTTAGTCTTGTCATATTTTCTGGTGTAATATTTCTTTTTAAAAAATGCTTACTCATTGATTAGTTTTAAAGTCAGCATTTATTTTTCTTCTTACACATGGCTAGGTAAAACTCCAAGCAAATATTTGATGATTAAAGCTGTTGGAACATGGCATTTGTAATGTTACTCCTGTGGATAGATGATTCAGTACTTTTCCATAGCTGACAGTTCTGTAGCAACAATAGCTGATGATGGGATAATGTGTAGAACTCTTAGATGATCATTTACCTCAAATGTCTATTTAATGAGAATAAAAGTTAGGACTACTTTATAACCAGACTCATAGACATTTACCATGTGAACTTGTACTCAGAGTCAGCTTGGGAATTATCTTGCTGCTATATGTATTGCTCTGTCGTGGTTGGGATTGATGCACTTGGTGACCAGGACCCTCCTTCTGTAATAAATTCACACTCAATTTATACTCAGGGATCTGCCCGTTTCTTTTTGAGACAGAGTCTTGCTGTTACCCAGGCTGGAGTATGGTGGTGTGATCACGGCTCACTGCAGCCTTGACCTCCTGGGCTCAAGTGATCCTCCTACCTCAGGCTCCCAAGGACCTGGGACTACAGGTGTACACCATCATGCCTAATTTTTTTTGTAAAGATGGGTCTCACTATGTTGCTCAGGCTGGTCTTGAACCCCTGGCTCAAGCAATCATCCTGCCTCCAAACTGCTGAGAAGATAGGCATGAACCACCATTCCCAGCCCTTTTTTTAAAAAAAAGAATTTCCATATCATGTCTAATCTACTTTTCTTATCACCTCATTTCTAAGTTCATATTGATATATATTTAATTGATCACTGGGAAAAAAAATACCAGTGCCTTTGTTTGGTTTGCAGTATCTTGTGCTTCTAATAGCTACTGTTTTTGAAAGACTTAAGTAACTTGCCTTGTAAACCTTTAAGATTGAGAAATAGATACAGAAAAAGCATATGAAACAAATGTGAGGCATAATGAATAAATTTAAAATGAACATTCATATAACTACCACCCAGATTAAGGAACACAATATACTGTCACCCTAACCTGAAAGCTCTCCCTGTGTGCCTTCCTGATCGCATTTTCTCCCATTCTCAAGAAAATCTCTCTCCTGACTTATGGTAATCACTCCCTTGTTTTTCTTTATATACTTTGAACTCATGTATACATTTGTAAACAGTGTGATTTAGTTTTGCCTATATCTGAATGCGATATTTGGATTCATACTATATATATTCTTTTAGGCCTTGCATATTTTGTTTAACATTGGTTTTAAGATAATATTGGATATAGGTCTTATTTATTCATTTTTATGGTTATAAAACGTTTTATGGTAGCCACACTATTCCTTCTGTTATTGATGGCCATTTAGGTTATAATTTTGGGCCATTATAAATAATGCTTTGAAATTAACCCCTATGAATTTCTGTATACTGGTACACATAAATGTGCATTTCTAGGAGTAGAATTTGCATAGAATATGTTTTGTACATCTTTAACTTTAGTAGATAATATACTAAACTCTTTCCAAAGAGGTTACCAATTTGTACTCTACTGTCAATCCGATTAGAGTTTTCTTTTGTTGTATTCTCCTCAACATTTGTTATTGTTGGAGTTTTCATAGCAGCCAATTTGTTGGGTATAGTGATCTCTCATTTTTTTTTCTTTATAGCTTTATTGAGAATTAAGATACAATTCACATACCATACAAATTCACCCACTTAAAATATACAACTCAGTGGTTTTTAGTATACTGACAGAGTTATGCAACCATCACCACAATATTAGGATATTTTTGTGACCCTAAAAAGAAACCCTGTAGTCTCCGTTTCTAGGCAACCACAAATCTACTTTCTGCCTCTAGAGATTTGCCTGTTCTGGACATTTCATACAAATGGAATCATACAGTATGTGGTTTTCTGTAATGGCTTCTTTTACTTAGCGTAATGGTTATTTTTTCCCTAACAGAAAATTTTGATAAAGCATAATGTTTTTAATGTAATACTAGCACTTTGGGAGGCCAAGATAGGAGAATCACATGAGCCTCTCTACAAAATGCCTCTCTGCAAAAATGCCCCTCTATAAAAACTACTAAAATTAGCTGAGTGTGGTGGCGTGTGCCTGTAGTCCCGGCTACTTGGGTGGCTGAGGTGTGAGGTTCACTTGAGCCCGGGAGGTTGAGCAAGGCTGCAGTGAGCTGAAATCACGTCACTGCAGTCCAGCTTGGGTGATAGAGTGAGACCCTGTCTTAGACACACACAAAAGAAAATTAGTTACCTATAAATAAATGTGGAGGTTTATTTCTGGACTCTAAATTATGTTCCATTGATCTACATATGTCTCTCATCTGTCCATATCACACCGTCTTGATAACTGCAGCTTCGTAGTAACTTTTAAAGTCATAGTGTGCATTCTCCAACTTTGTCCTTTTTTAAAGATTCTTTGCTCTTCTTTGATCCTTTGCATTTTCATATGAATTATAGAATTAGCCTGTCACCTTATGCAAAAAGGCCAACTGAGTTTTTGATAGGAATTACATGTATCTGTAGATCAACTTGATAATAGTCTTTAAACTGAGTATAGGGTGTCTTTTCATTCATTTAGGTCTTTAAAATTTTTTTAATGGTATCACTTGTCAGAGTAAAATTTTACGTCTCTTTTGTAAAATTTATACCCATTTTGTTATTTTTGATGCTTTTGCAAATGGTATTGTTTTCCTAATTTTATTTCCTGATTGTTCATTGCAAGTATATAGACATACTGTTGATTATTGCTTATTGATCTTATACTCTGCAACCTTTGTGAACTCATTTATTGGTTCAGTAAATTTTTAGTGGATTCTTAGGAATTTTCTGTGTACAAGACCATGTCATCTACAAATGAAGATAGTTTTTCTTCTTTCTTTCCAATCTTGGATGTCTTTTTGTTATGTTCTTGCTTAATTGTCCTGGCTGGAACCACCAATATAATGAACAAAAGTAGTGAAAAAGGACATCTTTGTCTTGTTCCTGATTTTAGAGGGAAAGCATGCAATCTTTTGTCATTTAGTTCCATGTTAGCTATGGGTTTTTCATAGATGCCTTTTATCAGATTGAGGAAGTTCCTTCTATTCCTAAATCGTTGAGTGTTTTTATCATGAAGGGTTCTTGTATTTTTTTTTATACGCTTTTTCTGCATCTATTGTGATGATCATGCGGTTTTGGTCCTGTATTCTTTTGGTATGGTTTACATCAATAGATCACTATTTTATTATTTGCATTAGCTGATTTTCAGATGTTAAGCCAACCTTGCGTTCCTAGAATAGATCCCACTTGGGCATGATATTTAATGCTTTTTATATGTTGTTGGACTCAGTTTGCTAGTATTTTGTTAAAGACTTTTGCAACTGTATTCATAAGAGAGACTGATCTGTAGTTTTATTGTGTTGTCTTTGTTTGGTTTTGGTATCATGGTAATACTGGCTTAGAATAAGTTGGGAAGTATTCTTTTCTGTCCTTTTTTTTGGAGAATTTGTGAAGAATTAGTATTTTCCTTTAAATATTTTTTGGAATTTACCATTGTAGCTGTCAGGAACTGAGTTTTTCTCGTGGGTAGTTTTTTGTATTCCTAGTTTAATAGAAGTCCTCAATACTTAATCAGTGTTAAAAGATCTTTTATTTTTGGGCAGATAAGGATGATTATGCTTACAGCGCAGTAGCCCAAGATGTGTTCAACCACAGCTGGAAGACGTCTGTAAATATTTCTGCATTGATTAAAATTCCTGGAGTTTGGGACCCTTTTGTGAAGAGTTACGTAGAAGTAAGTAGAATTTTCATAAAATTTATTGGTTTTATTTTGTCAAAAGCCTATACAGAGACTGCATACCTAATCTTTATTGATCAGAAAGAAACTAATGGAAAAAATTATTTAGAAGAAAACGAAAATATGGCGTCTTTTTTGTTCTGAATTTATTTTCACCACTCTATAACCCATCGTGGCCAAATATTTATAAAATACATAGCAATATAGTTGTAAGTGTTAATTCAATCTTCTTATTGTTGAGCTTAAAATAAATGCAATAAGGTATTTTATGATTTGGTGGGATATAGAAGGAAAGAGGACAAAAATCTGAAAGTGGGTCACAATATATGAGATGAAGAATGATGGCTTTTTGGAGGTTCATAAGAATGTCCTGTCATCACAGAGTCATTGTAAAAGGACTGAGGGCCTTGGTGCTAGGCACTAGGAATAAATCTTCAAAATAATTTGCTTTGTGAAAATTAATGAGTGCTAACGTGATGATTGTGTTGTCAGAAGATAATCTCCAAGATCATAATCTGGAAATTCCTGTTTAAGGATGGGAACAGAATGAAATGAACTATAATTCCTGTGTACTCCTTTGTGGCTGCAGTTATGTAGGGCACTGAGGTTAGTTGTATCACATTTTCAAGCATTAGTATTCCCTGCTTTGAGGACTCTTATTTTTTATAGGAAGAGTATTTATGTTGAGATGTTGCATTTTTTATTAATAGTAACAAAATACAGGGCAGAAAATGGGAGCCCTGTCAGTTTTGTGCTTTTTAAAAAATATTCATCAGTAAACTTACGCTATGTATTATCTTTCATAGAGCTGTCTTACAGAATTCAGCTAATATATTATGATTTATTTTATATAGATGCTGGAATTCTATGGGGATCGAGATGGAGCCCAAGAGGTACTCACCAATTATGCATATGATGAAAAGTTTCCATCAAATCCAAATGCCCATATCTACTTATACAACTTTCTCAAGAGACAGAAGGCACCAAGATCAAAATTGATAAGTGTGCTTAAGGTATAGAATTTTTATCTCAACGTTTGAACAGCGTTGGGAATCCACATTAAAACATTCTTAGGCTGTTGCTTTCTAACTTCTATAGCATCCACAGAAAATTACAGTAATGTACAGCACACTGAGATAAACGAGAAAGTTGGCTCCAGCTGCCATCTCCACGTAAGTATCATCCACACTATCCCCTGCTGCCCAGGTGAGACCGAGGAGAGAGGATCAGGATGTCAGAAATCTTGTGCAACCCTGGTTGGAATGCTCTGCATTGGTATTTTTTGAAAATCAACTTTATTGAAATTTAATTTTCAGACAATAAACACTTAAGTATATTCTTGGATGCAGTATATTTATGAACCACCGTGGTAATCAAGATACAGAACATTTCTGTCACCCTTGGAATGCCTTTCATTTCCCTTTGCAGCCAGTCTGTCCACACACCCCCTGGCCCCACACAATCATCGATATGCTTTTTGTCACTGTAGATTTTTACCTCTTCTGGAATTTCATATAAATGGAATCTTATGTATTCATTTTAATCTGGCTTTTCTTGCTCAGCGTAATGTAGAGATTCACCCATGTTATTGTGTATATTAGTAATGTGTTCCTTATTACTGCTGAGTAGTATTTCATTTTTATACTTTCACTTCTTGATGGACATTTGGGTGGTTTTTAATTTTTGGCTCTTATGATAAGAACATTCATGTACAAGACTCTGTATACACATATATTTTGATATTTCTTGGGTAGCTACCTGAGAGAGGAATTGCTGCCTAAGAGTAGTAAGGAAAGTATATGCTTAACTTCTTAACAAACTGCCCAGTTGTTTTCTGAAGTGACTGTACCATTGGCAGTCACACATCAATACATGAAAATTCAGTTTGTCCACATCTGTGCCAACAGTTGGTATTGGAGGTCTTTTGAATTATAACCTCTTGTGGGTGTACGTAGTGGTTTCTCATGTGTCATTAAATTGTATTTCCCTATGATGTTGAGGATCTTTTAATATGTCAATTGGCCATTCCTATATCTTATTTTGTCAAGCGTCCAACTACTTAGTCTATTTTTGGGGAGATCAATTATCTTATTGATTTGGAAATTCTTATATGATCTGGATATAAGTCCTTTTTGAAGAATACGAATTATGAATATTTTCTCTCTGACCGTGCCTTGCCTTTTGGTTTCCTTAGTAGTATCTGTCAAAGAGCAGAAACTTCCAATTTTATGTTCAGTTTATACATTTTTTTCTCTTATGGTCAATGCTTTTTGTCTAAGAAATCTTTGCCTATCTCAAGTTAATGAAGAGTCTCGTCTATTTTTTTATTCTAGATGTGTTATATAGTTTTATGTTTAGGCCTGTGGTAGATTTTTAGCTATTTTTTTGTGGGTAATGTGAGGCAAAGGCCAGGGTTTATTTTTTCCCATATGGTTGTTCAGCACTATATTGAAGACTCTCCTTTCTCCATTTAGTACATTTGGAACTTTGTTGAAAACCAGTAGGCTATATATGAAGTCCCTCTTGTTCTAGTGATGTATATTTCCACATTGATATATGAAAATTCAGTTTCTCCACATTCTTGCCAATACTTGGTATTGTTGGTCTTTTGAGTTTGAGTTGTTGCTGTTCTAGTGGTTGTGTAGTAATATCTCATATGTCCTTAATATGATTACTGTAGCTTCGTAGCAAGTCTTGGAATCATACCATGAAAGTTATACAAATTTGTTCTTTTTCATAATTGTTTTTGGCTTTTCTAGGTTCTTTAACTTTCCATGTATACCTTATAATTGACTTACCTGTTGCTACAAAAGGTCTTGCTGAGAGTTTGAATCTATAGACCAGTTTGAGAGAATTGACATCTTAACAGTATTGAGGTTTCTAAAGTGTAAACATGGTATTTCTCTCCATTTATGTAGGTTTTTCATTTCTCTCTGAACTTTTAGTTTTTAGTATATTTATTTTGTTAAATTTGTCCCTGTTTCATGGGCTTGTATATAATATTGCTTAAATTTTTAAATTGTAGGAAAATATGTAGAAAAATAAATGTTACCATTTTGATCATTTTTAAATCACATAATTTAGTGGCATTAAGTACATTCATTCGAAATTTTCTGCAACCACCATCACTGTCTATTTCCAGAATGTTTTCATTATTCCAAGTAGAAATTATTCATTAAACAGTAACACCTCATTACCCGCTCCTCCCAGCCCCTGACAACCTCTATGCTAATTTCCATTTTTGTGAATTTGATTATTCTAGGTACCTCATGTAAGTGGAATCATACAAAATTTGTCCCTTTGTGTCTTGCTAATTTCACTTAGCATAATGTTTTCAAGGTTCATCCATGTTGTAGCATATATCAAAATGCCCATCTTTATTTAAGGCTGAATCATATTCCATTTTATGTACCTATGACATTTTGCGTATCCATTCATTTTTTGGTAGACATTTGGGTTATGTCTGTTGTTTGGCTATTATAAATAATGCTGCTCTAAAGATTAGTGTACTTTGAGTCCTTACTTTCACTTCTTTTGTTTATATACCTAGGAGTGAAATTGCTGCATTATATGGTAATTCTTTAACTTTTTGAGGAACTGTCAAACTGTTTTCTACAGCAGCTACACTATTTTACATTCCCATCAGCAGTTCCACATCCTTCTATTCTCCATCACCTTTTTTTGATCATTGATATCCTAGTGCAGGGGGTCCCAAAACCCTGGGTCATGGACCAGTATTGGTTTGTGGGCTGTTAGGAACCAGGCCACACAGCAGAAGGTGAGCGGCAGGCAAGTGAGCATTACTCCTGAGCTCTGCCTCCTGTCAGATCAGTGGTGGCATTAGATTCTCATAGGAGCAGGAACCATATTGTGAACTACACATGTGAGGGATCTAGGTTGTGTTCCTTATGAGAATTTAATGCCTGAAGATCTATCACTGTCTCCTATTACCCCCAGATGTGTTCATCTAGTTGCAGGAAAACCGGGCTCTCACTGATTATGGTGAGTTGTATAATTACTTAATTATGTATTATGACATAATAATATAAAGTGCACAATAAATGTAAAGTGTGTAAATAATGTAATCCCGAAACCATCCTCCATCCTCAGAGCTCTGGTCCATGGAAAAATTGTCTTCTATGAAACCAGTCCCTGGTGCCAAAAAGGTTGGGGACCACTATCCTAGTGGGTGTGAAGTGGTATCTCTGTTTCATTGTGGTTTTGGTTTGCGTTTCCTTAATGTCTAGTGATGTGCATCCTTTCATGTGCTTATTGGCCATTTGTATATCTTCTTTGGCAAATGTCTGTTCAAGTCCTTTGTCCCTTTTTGAATTGGGTTGTTTGGTTTTTGTTTTTTGTTGTTAAGTTATAGGAGTTCTTTGTATATTTTGTGTTCAGTTTTTAATCATGATATTTTAGAGGTGAAAGACAAAGATCTTTTTCAACCTAAAGAAATGACAGAGAAAAGTTATCTCTGTTTTCTTTTAAAAGTCTGATTATCATCAATCTATACTTTCATGATCAAAATTGGCATTATCAAACCTTCAAATGTGGAAACTGTGTTTTATGAATTTTTCAACAGACTTTGTTTTACTAAACAATCCTTTGTTGTTATTGTTTGAAACAGGGTCCCACTCTGTTGCCCAGGCTGGAGAGCAGTGGCATGATCACAGCTCACTGTAGCCCCCACCTCCCCAGCTCAGGTGATCCTGCCACCTCAGCCTCCTGAGTAGCTGGGACTACAGGCACACACCACCACGCCCAGCTAATTTTTTGTATTTTTTGGAGAGATGGGGTTTTGCTATGTTGCCCAGGCTGGACTAAATAATACTTTTGAAGTTATTTTTATTTTACTCTCTTAAGATAACTTTTGACTCATTTATGTTACAAAATATTAAGGATTGTTACAACAAAAGCAAGACTGTGCTTTCACTCAGGTTGTCAATCACTAATGGTGTTTTTGAAAAGATTTTTTTAAATGCTACAGAAAATATGTCGAATACTTACCTCATTCAAGACAAGATGGATTTAGAGAAATTCTGTTTTTCCATTTAAAAAATATAATATTTGGAATTAAGATCTCAATACATGGGGTTAATAGCAGATTGAACATAGCAAAATAGAAGATTAATGAACTGCATAGAAAATATCAGGCTAAACCATGGAGAACAAAAAGGATGAAAGGTGCAGAAACGAGCATACAAGTAAGTTGCTGAAAAGATCTGACATACTTGTCATTGGAGTCCTAGATGGCGGACCTCTGAATAGAACAGAAGCAAACACATTTTTTAAAAACCCTAATATATGAAGAGCTGATGGCTAAGAATTTTTCAAAACTAATGGAGGATTTCTAGTGTTCTGGCGATGTGCTATTATTTGATCTGGGTGCTGGTCACCTAAGTGTTTAATTTAACTGATTGGGTGTCATGATTTGTATATATTTCTATGGCATGTTATATTTCAATAAAAACTAAGTGAATTGAGCCATATGCAGAATTCTATAAAATCATGAGACATATGTGACTTTCATAGGAACCCAGTTTCAGTAATAGTTCTGATATTGGTGTATTGATCTTGATTGATATTCTTAAAAATGATTAAGAGAAATTAACAAAATTTACTTAATTTTGTTGGAAATTATTTCAATGTAAGATCAGAGTACTTCAGTAAGCAGACAGAATGAATTTATTTCTAATATTAAATGTGTTAAAATGAAGAATACAGTTTTACTTTAAATTCTGTTTTTGAATATTCATAAAAATAATCTTCCTATTTTTAAAAAGAAAAACATTTAAATTTTTTATTGCGTAAAAGGTTGTTGAAATATTTACTCGCATACCCTTAGTAAACTGTGTTCCTGAGCACAATCTGTGAAATTACCTTCCAGCCTTTTTAGTGTTTTTGCTTTATATAAATGTCCTGTGATTTTTCTGTTCTGTAAATAAGTATATTTTCTGTGTGATAATTGATTTTTTCTTTATATTTTTCTTCAGTCCTGGCTTCTGAAAGAAATTATTTTAAGTTCTTAAGCATGGTAAACAGTATAGATGTGTATACGGGGCAAATAGTAAGTCCCTGTCTATTTCCCTCAGTTCTCCTGACTATCTTGTTAGCAGGAACTTTAAAAAAAAAAAAAAAAACAGTTTTACAGAAAATGCTTTTCTATACTTAGATTGAAACTAGAATAAAAAGCAAGGTATTTTAAAAATACTTAATAAACTTAGAGTCTATTAGACAGTAAGAACTTTATTTTGAAAGTAGCTGAAATTTGAGAAATGCTTTTACAAGTATGTAAAAATTACAAGACTGTTCTTTCTTTCAGATTTTGTATCAGATTGTGCCATCTCATAAATTGATGTTGGAATTCCATACATTACTTAGAAAATCAGGTAATAAGTAAAGTTTGTTTTATACCTTGTGTAGACAAGCTATAGACCAGGGACCAGCAAACTATGGCCCATTGGCCAAATCCACCCCTTGCCTGATTTTATAAATCAAATTCTGTTGGAGTCCATTTGTTTATGTATTGTCTGTGGCTGCTTTGGCACTGTAGTGACAGAGCTGTGTAGTTATGATAGAGAATGTATGTCTTGCAAAGCTTAAAACATTTACTGTCTGTCCCTTTATAGAAAAAGTTTGCCTACTCCTGTTATACGACGAAGGCAGCATTTGCAAAAGAGAAATGGCTTCAATTTATAGAATTCACTCCATTTTAATCCCTACTAGATTTCAGCACACCATAGAAAAGAGTATACTTCTTCATAGAAGGAAATCAACTGGCTCAGCCCAAACTGGTCCTAGGATTGCCTAGGTTTCTCTCTGAATGTAAGAGAACATGTATAAAATGCCCAAACAGGGCTTTAAATATTCTCAGTAGAGGAGTGTAACTCATATTGGGATCAGACTCATCACCATGACCTCATTAACATGGTTGAAATTACTGAGTTTTTTAGATTCGTCACGGGAGTAAGAGCATACTGAATTTTTAAAAACTGTTAGAAGGCTTATGATTTAGTATTTTATCAACCATATGTATGTAAAGTATATATACAATTGATAAAATATATACATGTATATTTTAGCTTGGTACACTTCAATACCTTATGTAAACTTGAACTGTTACAACCATTACAGAAAAGGAAGAACACCATAAACTGGGTTTGGAGGTATTATTTGGAGTCTTAGATTTTGCCGGATGCACTAAGAATATAACTGCTTGGAAATACTTGGCAAAATATCTGAAGAAGATCTTAATGGGGTAAGAAACATGAAGTACTAGATCATCATAAATAATATTTCCCAATATTTTAGCTAATATCTATCAATTTTTAAACATCTTTGCTTATGTTTTTGAATTTCTCAAACTGTGTCCAGCTGTTTTCTGCATACATTTTCTTCTGAAGCAAAGAAATACAGAGTCATAAGGAAAGCATACAAAAATTCTATCAATTTTTTTTATGCTATCGAAATAAATACTATACTTAGCAGTACTGTTTGCTAAAGAATACATATGTGTTTTCCCATTGGAAATAAAGACTAGCAGGGATCACTCTGCTAAAGACTCTGTGATTTGTGCATCATTAACTTGGAAGATCACATGAGAAGCAGCTTTCCTCCTACCTGTGTTTGATCATTTTCAGTGGCTATTTTTAGGACCTCACAAACTCATCATACCCTATTTATTCAACAGATACTCATTAAATCCATTGTGACTTGGGTATCTGAAAGTGTATCTCTGATCTTAATCTTATTAGCGTCACATTTTGAGTGAAAACGAGTTTCTTGTTATTTTTACTTAGTGTGTGATAAGAAGGGATATCACAAAATTGTTTCATATATTTATTATATCCATTTTAGTTGTTAGGCAATTCATTATCAGTTGGAACTTGTTTCAGGCTTCAGAGCTAACTTGTCCTGATGGAACAGTGCTGTTTATAAAATGGTTTTGCTGTCATATGTTGATGCACTCTCTGTAAACCACTTTCTAGATCTCAAGCACTGAATAAACTCCTGCTAGATTATAAGGTCCTTAAAAGCAAAGAGGTTCATTTCTTTGAACTTCTAGATGTTCTACCATAGGGGGCACATGGGTGCTAAGTACTTGTTCAATTAAATTACAGAGATCTAATGTACATCACAGACTGTGGTTAATAATATTGTATTGTATATAGGAAATTTACTAAGAGTAGAGTTCAGGTGCTCCTACCACACACAACAGTTAACTATATGTATATAAAACATGTTGTATACCTTAAATATATACAGTGGAAGAATTATTCACAGACACATAGCATTGCCTGCATTTAACAGTTAAACCTATGTGTTTATATATTTTTATAATAATGGTATCTTGATTTGGATAACAATTCATGGCAGCATATAATTTTAAGTTAGGTTTTACTTAAGTAATAGTAATAGATAAAATTGATTGAATATTTACTATGCACCAGACACTATGCAAAGAGCTTTATATGAGACCTGCCATACCCTACTACTGGAATAGTTTAATCTTAATAACAGTCCTATGAGATCGGTACCACTAATGTCCTCAAGGACACTGAAGCTCAGAGAGGTTCAACAACTTGCCCAGGATCACATAGATAATAAATGGAAGAGCTGATATTTGAATCCAGGATTCTGGCTTCGAGTCTGTTCTGTAACTACTGTGCTAAAGTGTCTGTTTAGTGAAATGGAAAATGGGATATGGAGGTGGAAGAGAACAAAAAGATTTGCTTTCCTGCTGTTGTCAATCATGTGTTATGCCTTTGCCATATTCAGAATTTAGATTGGAAACATCTTCCTTGTCAGCTTTCCATAGACTCTAATTAAGTCTAAATTCTGATAATGTAGATTTGTTCCCATCATTGACCTTCTCTTTTCACATTTTTCTTTTCCAGAAACCACCTTGTGTGGGTTCAAGAAGAGTGGAACTCCAGGAAAAACTGGTGGCCAAGCTTTCATTTCAGCTACTTTTGGGCAAAAAGTGATTGGAAGGAAGACACAGCTTTGTCCTGTGAGAAAGCCTTTGTGGCTGGATTACTGTTAGGAAAAGGTACATGTTTTTGTTTTCTTTTTATCTAGACACAGTTTTTTGGCTGAATTTGAAATTACGAAGTATGGCCTTCATTTAGAGCTTACTTAGTATAGTACCTAAAAATACTAGGCACTTAAGAAATAACTGCTTGATGAAAGAATGACTCCAATTCAGTGATTTCATATTATTGATTGTGATTGGTTTTCACCTTCTGACTTGAGTGTTGCTAGGGGGCATTAAGATATGTGATACAGACTTTTCACAATAATTGACCATTTAGCCTTGGTTTTATAGAAAGTTTACTGAGATTTTTTACTTTATTAAATGTATGAAAATATTATTTATTGACCTCATTGTTCTTTGATAGCTCCATATTACACTAATATTTACTTATCTGTTCCTGAAAGCGTGAAACATTTCCTCCACTTAAGAGAAAAAAATACCTCCTACTAGCATATGAAAAAAAATCCTCTTGAAAGAAAAGGGATATTGATTTTTTCTTCAAAGAAAAGGAGTATTTTGGGTGGTAAAACTCTTAACTGCTTTGTACCACTGAAATATGAAAAGGGGCCAGTACTGAAATGAAACTGCCACAAAGTATGTCCAGAAATGAAGAAAGTCAATCTTCAGTGACCACTAGTAAGCAGTCCATTGCTATGGAGTTTAAGGTGTGCTGAAGAGATTCTCCAATTCACTTTTGAATATGGTTTCTATTATTTTGGAATTAGTAGTCTCAGTGAATGTAATAAAATTTGATTAAGAAGAAAATAAGCCAGGTGCAGTGGCACGTGCCTGTAGTCCCAGCTACTCGGGAGGCTGAGGTGGGAGGATCGCTTGAGCCCAAGAGTTCTGGGCTGTAGTGCGCCATGCCGATCGGATGTCTGCCCTAAGTTTGGCATCAATATGGTGACCTCCCAGGAGCAGGGGACCACCAGATTGCCCAAGGAGGGGTGAACCAGGCCAGGCTGGAAACAGAGCAGGTCAGAACTCCTGTGCTGATCAGTAGTGGGATTGTGCCTATGAATAGCCACTGCACTCCAGCCTGGGCAACATAGAAAGACCCCATCTCTAAAAAAAAAAAAAAAAAAAAGAAAGAAAAGAAAAGAAAAATTCTCTAATACACTGATGACAAGGAACAGAAAGGTGATTTGGATTGTCATTTTCTACTACTTTATGAGTAGAGAGGCATCTAGCACAATTATTTAGAGGTCTCTTTGAGCAGAGTAGGAAGATCTGGGTTAATTTTGCAGTTCTCTCACTCACTTGCTATGTATCTTAGGCCAAGCAATTAGCTTTTAGGAGCTTTTTCTGTGAAGGGGCACTGTAATACCCATCTTATTGTTGTAAGTATCATGTGAACATTGCATCAAAGTGCTTCATAATTTCTAAAGTACTCTACAAATATCAGGTATCAGTTACTCCTGCAAGAGCCACATCTCCTCTCAAGCTGTTAGTGTGGGGTTGAGTCAGTCTATTCATTGGTTAAGCTGGGTTTTCTTCTTGTCCTGGTTACCAACCTTACTTTATAGTATTCAAATTCTAGTCGTGGTCTGCCTTTGCTTTGTGCTTTGGGGTAAGGTGGCTATCTTTCTTCCTATGCCCTGCTAAAAGCAAGCTAGGCTCATTTCTCCTTGGAGGGGCCTTCTCTTGTTGGGATTGAAACTACTTGGTTGTCCTGCGATTCCAGCTCTCCAGTGGACTCGAGTTAATATTTGAGGTTTATTAAGCTTTTTCTCTGTTGGAGTGGGAACCAGGTTATTCCCAGCTTTCTGTGTAGGTAGAGGCAAAATTCTGTGTGCAAAGTATTTTGCTTTTTACTAAGGTGAATATGATATGTTTAGAAACACAAATTATTTTAGTAATACTACAGACACCACTGCTTCTCAGTCAGCAAAACATTACCAATTCCGAGCTGGGTGCAGTGGCATGCAGTGCTCCTGTAATCCTAGCTGCTTGGGAAGCTGAGGTGGGAGGATTGCTTGAGCCCAGGAGTTTTGAGACCAGAGTGTGTCACACAGTGAGACCCCATCTCAGGAAAAACAATAAAACAAAATATTTGCAATTCTGGCATGCTAATTAGTTTCCGGAATGGTAAAAATGGTTACTATAGGTACATGTCCTTGCATTTTCTCAGAGAAGATATTGCATACAGGCTGAAACTGTAGTGAAATTAATTTTTCATATATGATTTATGGTCTTGTCCATTTACCAACTCTAAAAAGAACTCAATATCCAGTTTACTTTTTCTTACAGAAATATGATTCATTTGTCTGAAGTATTTGACAAATACTTGACAGTCCTTTGTGTTGTAAGACTATGAAGAGCAGGTGGAACTTCTAATGAGCATGAGGCACCTCTGTCAGATACATGGTCTCTACTTTGCTGCTTGCTACATGGCTAGAATGAATAGATAATGTCTGACCATTTCTAACCTATGATTTGTTTATTCTAATCCTTCACACCAAGATTTTCTACAGAGAATTTTCTTACTGTTATAAATGTAACTTTGGCTGATTTATAAGCTAACATTGAGAAGAAATCTATACAAATGCATTTCTAGAGAAGGCTCATTTAATACGTGACTATATGTAATATGCCTGTCACCATCGCCAGGGTATAGGAGGAAGGGTAGAAAACAAATTAAAGTCTGTGCTTTAATTATGATAGATTAGAAACACTTTTGTATATAGGAGGAAATATATTTCACTGGACACAGCTGAGAATATGCTTAGGCCATACTGGTGTAGATACTACAAATTTATTTTCATAATCATTAGTGTGCCAAGTTAAAGCACAATTTTAAAAATGTAGAAATATGCTTGAGAAAAAATGATGAGTATTAAAACTTTTTATTTTGCTTTACTTTTTTAGGTTGTAGATATTTTCGGTATATTTTAAAGCAAGATCACCAAATCTTAGGGAAGAAAATTAAGCGGATGAAGAGATCTGTGAAGAAATACAGTATTGTAAATCCAAGACTCTGATGCTGGATTTTAGTTACTTCACAGTAGTAGCTACACAGTAAGCAGCTCAGTAGTTATTGAATATATTTATGTAGTGTATTAAGAAGCTTATATGAGTCTAAACTTATTTTTATATATTTTAATTTTTTTATTTATAGCTAGGGAAACAATATTACTGCCTTTGTTCTTTGTAAATATGTCTGTTTTCTTTTTTGTAATGTTAAATGTTACATTTGTTAAGGAATAATTCTTTAAATGAAAAAATATTTATCTAGAGAATATAGCTCTACAGCAGTTATTGTTTGCAAATAATTTTCCTCTGGCTGTTGTGTAATAAAATACAACTTGTGGTACTGTGAAATGAATTGACATTCTTCTTTTTATTCTAATTAATTAATTTTAGGCATACCACCATGAAGAAATATATTGGTGATGAGTTCTGCTGAGGAATTTTGAAAAGAGAGAAGGATTTAGAAAAAGACTTTTTCTCTTTCAGTATAAAGACATGACAAATTGGGGCAAAATATCCTCCTGCTAGAGAGAGACCTTTGACTCTAGAGGACTGGTTTGGGTCACAGCAGTGTAGAAGTCCGGCTCTTTTCAGCTGACACTGGCCTAACTTTAAAGGCTCTTGGCTTTTTTGGTGCCTGACACAGCAGTCTAAGACATGCTTAGAACTCACGTGTCCCCTCTCCTTTTTCTCTTGGAAATAGGATGCAGCAGCATGTAGCTGGACAGTGGAGGAAACTCGCCAGTGGAAACAGTGGAGGCAACTGTCCCTGAGTCATACAGTAAACCCACAGGGAAAGCCTGGCCAGAAGCCAACAGCAACTTTCCTGGAACATGAGCTGAGCTTTGTAACATGATGGGATAATTGGTAGAACAGTGCTTCTTCAGAAATGTTTTGGCTCTTATACATTTACTGCTGAGATAACTAGTAATTGAGTTCCATGAAGGCTCACTAACTTCAGAGCAAGTCTCATATTTAGATGACAAGACACATATGTTTCCCATTGGTTTATATTCCTACTGATTTTAAACCATCTGCAAGAAGATTAGGGGACAAATTATGCTTTGTCAATAGTTTATATTTCAATATTACTTAGAAAGGCCTATCCATAAAGAAGTACTTATAAAGTATATGTAAAATGAGTAGGTGTTCCATGGAACCAAAATAAACCAAGTAAAAGCTACCACATAAATAGGGCTAGCTTTACTCTTGGGAGTCCATGATTGGGTTGTGTAGGAGTTCTGTATAAGACCAATACTCCAGGAATGAAATTCCCAGGTGATGTGGAAAAAATCTCAAAGCATAGCCCAAGATCTACTTCCTGAAACTTTTAGGCAAAAGCTATAAAATAGGATTATGATTTCTCTTGATCTCTAAGAAAATGGAGGTGAGGATAAAAGAAATGAGTAGATACGATTCTTGGTTTCCATACAAAACTGTCTCTTAAAATTTTTGCATCAAATGTTCTTATCTAATTGTTCAGTAAGAGTAGTGCAATTTACCTGTGAAACTTTTTTTTAGATCCATTGATGTTTAAGCTGCTTCTATGAATAATAGTAATAGCTAAAATTTATCAAGCACTTTGGGTTTTACCTTTCATCATATAACCACCACAATTCTATGAATTATTCCTATTTTACCAATAATGAGGTCACTGGAGATGAAGTAACTTGCCAAGGTCACAGTGTGTAGGTGTTGGCACCAGGATCCTAACACAATCAGTGTGGTTCCAAAGATCACACTCTTCACGTAGTAGCTGTATGACCTCCCAGTGCAGTCGGTGTTGACTACGTGCAGAGCACTGAGCTAGGTAGAGTGAGACAAAACAGCAGAAGCCAGGCCTGCTCATTTCTGCTTGCCAGCGTCATTTCACAAAGCCCCTGACCCTGTGATGACATGCAATTCTCTGGAAAGATGCCTTAAAAACAAAACAGCATAGAGCACAGGGCACCCCGACGCCTCTTGCCTGAGTCACTACATTCCTTAAAAGTTAAATGAACCCAGTCCTTGCCTTTTCCTACACATGAGATAATATCTGATGGGATTAGTGGTTATGCTTCTGTAATCCATAACCAGATGTACTCTTACACCCAAACCTTGATGAGATTCTGCTTGAATGCAGCTTTTGAGCAAGCTTGATGTGATTTTGCACTGTAGGGAACTCCACCACCTGATAAGCAGTGAGCTGAAATACTGTGCTGGAACAGTCTGACAGGACTGCTTGCTTATGTGGTTACTACTTATAACCATTCATCACGACTACTTTAAGACACTTTAAGTAGCAATAACTAAAGATAATTTAAAGTCTTGTTTTCTCATTGAAACCTCAATGTATATATTTAAGATGTACAACTTGATATTTGATATACATTGTGAAATGATCGCTACGATCAAGCTAATTAATATCTTCATTACCTCTACGTAATTACCATTTTGTTTGTGTTGTGTATGTATATGTGTGATGAAAAGATTTAAGATCTGTCTTTTTAACAAATTACACGTATGTAATATAATACTGAACTGTCATCACCATGTTGTACATTGGATCTCCAGAAATCATTTATCTTCTATAACTGAAACTTTGTACCATTTGACCAATATCAGTCTATTTCCCCTTTCCCTCAGCTCCTGGCAACCATCTTACCCTCTGCTTCTGTGAATTTGGCTCTTAAATTTCACATACAAGTGAGATCATGTGGTATTTCTCTTTCTGTGTCTTGCTTATTTTAATTTTGCTTAGCATAACGTCCTCCATGTTGAGAATGGCAGAATTTCTTCTTTAAGGCTAAGTAATATTTAATTGTATTTTTTTATATGCCACAAATTTATTCATCTGTCAAAGGACATTTAGGTTGTTTCAGTTGTTATGAGTGATGCTGCAATGAACGTAGGAGTGCAGATATCTCTTTATAATCTTGATTTCAATTCCTTTGGGTGTATATCCAGATATTTCTGTTTTCAATTTTTTTGGGGGAACCTCCATATTGTTTTCTATATTTCCATCCCCACCAGCAGCGTACAAGTGCTTCCTCTTCATCCTCACCAGTACTTATCTTTGACCTCTGGTACTATTCATCCTACCAGGTGTGAGGCTGTATTTCCTGGTTTGATTAGCGTTTCCCTGGTGACTCGAGCTGTTGAGCACTTATTCATATACCTGTTAGCTATTCAAATTTCCTTTGAGAAGTGTCTATTTAGTTCCTTTGGCCATTTTTTAAATTGAATTATATTTTTGGTATTGAGTTTTATGAGTTCTTTGTGTATTTAAGATTATTAGCCCCTTAGCTGATGAATTATATGGAATGTGAATTACATCTGTAAAGCTGTTACATCCCATTCCCTTCCCACCTCCCCTCATAAAAAGAAAGAAAAGCATGTTCTGTGGAGTCTGAAAAGTCTGGGTTCAAATTCCAGCGTGGCTGAAGGCCCCCACCTAGGTGGGCCTCACCTTTATTCTGTAAAATGAGATGGTCTGGAAAGGTTGATATAAAATGCTGAGCATGGGTCCTGGTAAATGCTTTTTCTCAATAAATAGAAACATTGTTTTATATTAACATTTTTGAAAAAGGAAAAGCAACAAAAATTAAGAAAAAAACAGGTGTGCCCTTTTGGACCCAATGATTCACCCATATTTCCAGCACAAAGGCTTTTCCTGCTGGATTTAATTAGAATCTGTATTTTAAATATTCCAAAGGGAAACAAGCAAGACCCTTGATGGATGGTCTACAAATAATGTGACTAACATCTGAGTAAGTCGATTCAAGATTCATGCTTCTAAACCAGTCTGCCAACAAATAAGGGTCTACTCAGTCCCACAAAAAATACAGAGCAGATGTGTATGTTGTTTTAATAGTTATGAAGGTAGCCTTTAGCTCAGTGAGTAGAGGCAGCTCTGTTTCTGCCCGTCAGTCCCATTGTGAACACCACTGCCAGTTATTTAGTTACAACTCCTATCGTGCCTATACCAAGAACTCCCAGATAATCTTACCAATGGAGCTGAGTGTTCAGTCAATACACTTCAGTAGGGTGCATCCAACACAAATTTTTCTAAATGAAGAACAAGTAAAAGTGATTACTTTCATTCTTTTGGGGTATATCATGATGGAATGAAAAAAGATCTGGGCTGTAATTCAGAATACCTGAATTGTGTTGCCATCTTTATTCATCTAAACTGGGGCCCTAAAATATTTCACTGAACCCCTCCTGGACTTAATTCACTCATGCTCACTGGTAATATGGTATGTACCTTGCTTACATAATTGTCTCGAGAGAATTGAAGGTCAAATGAAATGCAGTGTGAGAAAATACTTTGTAAACTGTAGTGCTTCGTGCGAATAAGTTGTATCTTCTCTAATCTTAGGTACATCTATTCATCTTTAGACTGAGAGAGGGAGATGTCTGGAGACAGACAGATAGTTACATCGGTAAGCTCTATGAGAGGCTACTGAGCTGGAACATTTCTGTGTGCACTTTCTCTGTTCTATTCCATGACGTGATGTAGGATAAACACCTGACTCTCAATATCACTTTTTAAAAGGCACTTGCATCGGGTGCAGTGGCTCACGCCTGTAATCCCAGCATTTTGGGAGGCCGAAGCAGGTGGATCACTTGAGCGCAGGAGTTCAAGACCAGCCTGGGCAGTATGGTATAACCCCTGTCTCTACAAAAAAAAAAAAAAAAGCAAAAATTAGCTGGGCGTGGTGGCACACACCTGCAGTTCCAGCTACTGGCATCACCACACTCTAGCCTGGGTAAGTGAGACCCTGTCTTGGGGAAAAAAAAGTTAAAATGTGCATGCTATGTGAAACTGTGTGTGTGTGTGTGTGTGTTAATGTGTGCTACTGCTATGGGCTGAATTGTTTCTCCTAAAAAAGAATTGTTGAAGTCTTAACCCACAATACCCCAGAATGTGACCTCATTTGGAGATAGTTTTTACAGAGAGAATCATGTTAAAATGAAGTCATTATGGTAGGCACTAATCCGGTATGACTGGTGTCCTGATGAAAAGGGGAAATTTGGACGTGAATGCACACAGGGAGTACGAGTACCATGTGAACATGAAGACAGCTCGGGGTGATGCATCCACAATCCAGGAACGCAAGATTGCTGGCAGACCCCACGAAGCTAGAGATCGGGCATGGAGCAGTGTCGCTCACGGCCTTCAGGAGGGACCAACCCTGCCAGCATCTCAACCTCAGACGTCTGGGCTCCAGAGCTGGGAGGCAGTACATTTCTGTTCTTTAAGCCACCAAGTCTGTGGCTGTGTTACAGCAGCCCTAGCAAACTAAATAATTTTTTTAAGGGATTATGTTTGCTTCAAAAGTGGAAGCTGAGTGATTTCAGATACTCTGTCTG